AAAAAATTATTTTTTATTTTCACTCATAAATACTGTAGAAATAACTTTTAATAAAGATATTTTGTTGTTGTAAAAGCGGTGAAATCATGATAAACAATAATTTTAATATAAGATATGACATTTGTTAGGTTTAAATATATTATTGAGTAGGGGTTAGGATAAATATTTAATAAGATTTTTTTATTCTATTTTATTTAATATTTAAGAGTTATTAAGTAAGTTTAAAAAAACAAAAAGTTATATTTGAAATAATTTTTATAAATTAGATTATCGGTTTAAAAATTAACCGATGATAAACATTCTAATGTTCTTATTTTATTTATTTATTTTTTCTTTTTCTAAAATTGTGAATCATATGAAATTTCCACATAAAGATTAGTGATAATGGCAATGCCAGCTTGACTCTTAGGGAGAAAGAACAATTTCGTTCGTGATAATGAAGACAGCTTCATGGTCCCTTCAAGCTTTAAGATTATTAATCTTACCCCTTAAGTTTCACATTGTCAATGAATCCAAAATCGAGAGATGAGAGTCTGCAATTTTGAGAAAAATGGTTTTCTCCTTCTGTTAATTTTTTCAAGCTTAATATTGATGGTTTAGCTTACAGTGAGACTTATGGTACCATCGTTGGTGGACCCTTTTGCGATAGCAAAAATAAATGGGTGCTAGGGGTCATATGCCATAGCGATGTTCGATATCTTTTTCAAAGATAAAATGGTGTTCGGTATGTTATATGTGGCTATAATATGTATGTGTGTGTGTGTGTGTATATATACAAGATATTTTGCCCTGAGAGAGAGAGCGAGAGAGAGCAAATCAAAATTCAACACGGCGCCGAAATGGCCACCCGCGAGGCCCGCTCACTTACGCTTATGTCATCACTCAAGATCACGTGAATCCCTAACATCACGGTTCACATATATATATATATATATATATGTATGTATGTAGTCCCGCTCACTTATGCTCATGAGTCATCCATCGCTCATGTTCCCGCGAGCTCCCATGTCATGATTCATATATAGTGTATGTGTATGTATGTATGTATTTATATATGAATGAAATTATAGTGTGATGGACCGAAAATGGTTGTGGACCTTTCTTTTGTGCCCCCGTTTGTCGACCTAAATAAAGAGAAGGTATTGGTTTATTATTTATATATATATATATAAAGTATTTGCATGGAAATTATTTATATTTATAATCATAAGTATTAAATAATTTATTATCAAGTATAAGGTTATTATAATAAATTTAGGTATCAAAGTAAGATCTAACATTGAAATTTAACAATTAGAAGGTAAATTGTATAATAAATTATAATGCAAGGAATTTTTTTTATTTAATTTTAAAAAAATTGAGATTTTTCAAATAATATATATTAGTAATTTAATGATTGACTTAAGTTGCGCATGAACTCTACCATCTATCATTATTACTATTTCGAATAAATTACTG